TCCCATGTGAAATCCTTTATCATTTAATTGACATGGGAAAATTTATCATAAAAGTGATAAAGGTTTTTACATGGGAAATGACATGGGATTTAACGTAGGAAATTATTTCAAAAAAATGATAAGGGATTTGACATGGGGTTTGACATAGGAAAATTTTTCTTAAAAATGATAAAGGATTTCACATGGGAAATGGCATGGGATTTGACATAAGAAAATTTTTCAAAAAAATGATAAGAGATTTCACATGGGGTTTGACATGGGAAAATGTATCATAAAAATGATAAAGGATTTCACATGGGAAATAACATGGGATTTCACGTAGGAAAATTTTTCAAAAAAATGATAAGGGATTTCACATGGGGTTTGACATGGGAAAATTTTTCATAAAAATGATAAAGGATTTCACATGGGAAATGGCATGGGATTTGACATAAGAAAATTTTTCAAAAAAATGATAAGAGATTTCACATGGGGTTTGACATGGGAAAATTTATCATAAAAATGATAAAGGATTTCACATGGGAAATAACATGGGATTTCACATAGGAAAATTTTTCAAAAAAATGATAAGGGATTTCACATGGGGTTTGACATGGGAAAATTTTTCATAAAAATGATAAAGGATTTCACATGGGAAATGACATGGGATTTGACATAGGTAAATTTTTCAAAAATATGATAAGGGATTTCACATGGGGTTGGACATGGGAAAATTTTTCATAAAAATGATAAAGGATTTCACATGGGAAATGACATGGGATTTGACATAGGAAAATTTTTCATAAAAATGATAAAGGATTTCACATGGGAAATGACATGGGATTTGACATAGGAAAATTTTTCAAAAATATGATAAGGGATTTCACATAGGGTTTGATATGGGGAAATTTTTTATAAAAATTATAAAGGATTTCACATGGGGAATTGACATGGTGTTTGACATGGGAAATTTTAATATAGATGTAGATCATCGTTATAGTTTTACAGTTACGCCACTAGATGGTGATAATTTTTCTTTCTCACAGTTGAGATCATTCTTGAATACTATATAAGCTGAGACTTTAACTCAGAATGTGTATTGCAAAGCACAAATTTTTTTCTTTTCAGATAAATTGCAGTAATATTATTTAATTTTTAATTAAATAATTTTTAATTTTTGTTAACTGCTTTCAGCATAAAACATTCAACTGAAATTATACCACATAAAAACCTATATTGTTTCCTATATATAAATCCATGTGAAATCTTAGGTTGATATTTCAGAATCTACATGAAATCCCATGTGATTTCCTATGTTCAAATCCATGTGAAATCATATGTAAGAATGCACATGAAATTCTATATTGATTCCTACATTAAATCTTGTATGTAAGATTTTATATAAGGAAATCTTAAGAATTTCATATAATATTTTTTTTAAGATTTGATGTGAGTTAATTATGAAGGAAATTGAAAAAAGTAATATGTCAGAAAAATTATAGGAAATACTGTAGGAATTGACATAGATTTCAATGTGGAAACAACATAATAAATTCCTGCATGAAATCATACACCAAATCGTGTCCGAATTTCATATATGATTTCACATGGAATTCCATGTGGATTCCTATGTGGACCTAGGATTTTATAACGGTTTTTATAAAGGAACCTATATGGAATCATATATAGGATCCCATGTGGGGATTTTCAATAGGGATTATATTTTACAATTAAGTCTTATTTTCCTACTTTTAAACCAGTCAATAATTTTATCTTTATTTATTTATATAGGGGAGGATGGGACAAGGATAGTTAGGTAAGATATTTTTGGATCTAGCAGTGAAATTTAAACTGGCATCGGAAAAAGAATAATATCGTTCAAAAGCCTGTTTATTTAGCTACAATTTTGCTATACATTGTAGATGGCAATGCCTTCGAGATAATATTGGAAAAGTAAAAAAAAAAATTTAACTATCCTTGCCCCACTAGTGGGGCAAAGATAGTTGAAAATTTGTTTTTACTAAGAATGATACAAAAAATCATGAAATTTGATTTTCCATTGTTTCAAGGTATCGAATTATATTTGTCAAGAATTAACAATAAAAATTATTGTTCTAATTAAATCGAATCATGTTTAATACAACTTAGCACTTAAGGATGAGCATTTTTATCAAAAAAACATGTTTTTTGTGAATTTTTTGAAAAACAAAAAAATTATTAAATCGCGATCCATAAAAAGCAATTAGCATTTCGTTTGCAATTAAAAAATTGTGTTAGCCAGACATTACCTTATCATAAGTATTACAACAAGGCACTAACTAGTTTTGCCCCGTGAGCGCTTTTTTCGAATTATCACAAATTTTTAGTACAAAAAATTTTTTTTTTTAAAAAAGCAATATGATATTCGTTTTCAGCACAAAATTTTATACCAGAAAACATTTACGTAAACAAATATATTTAATAAATTATATCCGCAAAAATAAGATTGAATAATAAAAATAAGGTGAAAATATTTTAGCAAAACTGAGATTTAACACAAATGGGCACGTAGCTTCTACAAATAGTGTCCCCGCAAGCTCAAATTTTTACTGTCGTCTTTTGGTGTTAAGACGAGTGTACATGATAAATGACCCGTTTTTTTGACGAGCCGTTTCTGTATTAGAGCCACTAACTATCCTTGCCCCTTAACTATCCTTGCCCCACCCTCCCCTATATATATGGAAAAATCTTATCTTCCAGATAAAAATTTAGAGTATGAAAAAAAATTTTTTTATTTGATCGCAGCTGAAAAATAAGGTTTATTTTAAAAAATGATAAATATACATTTAAAAAGTATTTGAAAAATATTAAAAAATCCTCACTTATTTATTATTTTTTTAAAAAGGAACAAATTTTTTTACTATTTTATTTTAAAATTATTATTCTTAATAATACATTTTTTATAGTATTTTAGTTTCATTTTCGTTATTAAAATCTTTTAATTAAAGAATAATAATCTTTGTATTCATTTCTTCATTCATTCACATTTTCTTAGTACTTGAATTTTCTCATTATTATTAGATTATATATACATATGTATATATCTTTACTTTGATAATTAGGGTTCTCGAAGGTTTCTACCTGAAATTTGTTTTGTCAAAACAACTTTCAGTTGAGGGTTTTTTTGGAAAAACTTTTTGGTATTGGATAATTTTAGCATTAAAGATATTTGGATTTTAAGGATAAAAAATTATATTGGATAACATTAGTATCGAATATATTTTGATATTGGAAAAAAATATTGATTATTTGAATATAGTGGAAGTTGGTTTTTGGAAAAATTTTTTGGTATTGGATAAGATTGGTATTAAAGATATTTGGATTTTGAGGATAATAAAATATGATATTGGATAACATTGGTTTTGAATATATTTTGATATTGAAAAAAAATTGACTGTTTGATAATAGTGGATGCTGGCTTTTGGAAAAGTATTTAAATAGAAAGAAATAGGGTTGAATATTGTTTTAAGGGTTGAAGTTGTTTTATGGGTTAAATAATAGTTTGTGAGTCGAATATTGATTTGAATAATAATAAAAAGTGCAGAGGAAAATAAGTTAAATAATAATCATTATCGAAAATGATGTAATGTGGAAAAAGATTAAACAACGCTAATTCACGTTCATAAAAGACTATCATTGTTGCATTAGTTAGCTGAATTATAGTTAATGAAATATTTTATAGGTGAAACACATGTAAGTAAATTTTTTGAAAGCAAGAAACTAAAATAAACGATTACTTTTGAAAATTAGCTTTATCGACAGTTTAAAAGTTCAAGAAGGATACCATGTCGAACATAAAAGAGTATTTTATTTTAAATAATAAAGATTTTAAGAATATTGAAAATGTAAATGAAATGTTAAATGATATGCATATGTATAAATTTCAAGAATTATTAAAAAATGATTCAAATTCTTTTTTCATTATGCAAAGTAGTTTGTAATTACAAATGCTTGATTTAATTATTCCAATTGGAGAAAGAGATAAACATATTCAAATAGTTTTTAGCGGTAATAACAATTCTGGTCATTGGATTTGTGTTTATTACGATGGAGTAATATTTTTTTAAGGCTATTTATTATTTATTAAGACTATTTTTTAAAGCCTTAATGCAGGGTGTTTGAATATTCATCAAATAGAATATTTAATTAGATTTTTCCCTTTTAAACCAACAGAATTTTTTGTAGGTGTTGATCAACAGCCGATTGGTACAGTTAAGTGTGAAGTATATGAAATAGCATTTGCTGTAAATTAAAAGATTAATTTATGAAACTGATAATAATATAATGAGCAAGCATTTGATATCATTTTTTGAAAACAATTAATTAAATCATTTTCCGGCAGTTAGAATGTCTAATATTAGGATTTCGATTTGTAGAGAATCATTGAAATTGTCTTTTCATAAATCGTAATTTTATTCATTTACAATTTTATATGTATCGTCTTTCATAGAGAAGAAAAAAGCGTGGATTGCCACATGTGCGTTTAACTAGATGTTTACGTACACAAATTTGCGATTCAGAAACTTTAAATAAAATGATATGTGCTGAAATCACAGACGAAATAAAGAATCCAGAACTTTATAACGTCATTGTAAAGCGATTTTAAGTTCATATGGGCCTTGTAGTAAACAAAATAGGACTTCACCCTGCATGGATCCTGAGATGGGTCAATTAAATGTATTGCTGACAATTCGATGATCGTAGCATATAATCTTTATTTGAGTACAAAATTTAAAGGTCATATTTACTGTGCAATAATAGGTATTATATTATTATAACACCATAAGGTTGAAATAGTAATACAGTAATCATTACAAAAATAATATTATTATTTTTGTGAGATCAAAATTCTAATAACTGTCCGTCAAATAAAAATAAATTTTTAATTTTTTATAAAAAATTATAGATACCACGCGCGTTTACGCGCGTTTCTTTTAGCTAGTTTAGATTATAATGTTTGAAATTTTTTAAATGTTCTACGCCTTTATATTATCTGTAAATTTTAAATCGCTTAAGTCGGAGAAGTTATTTTCTTATCTGAAAAGCCGATAAGTTCATGAATTTCAAAATTAGATAATTATATTCATTAGATGGCTTCTTAAGTGTATCATAATAATATTCCCAAAATTTGCATTCGTGTCCTTCCTTGTTCACGAATTTTGAGATAAATTGTTCTTGATTTGTGGCAAGGTAAACAAACGATGTTTCAAATAAATGTTTATTGTCTTTATCGACATATTGCTTCAAAATTTCTTCTGTCAATGTCTCCAAAGTATAATCTACGTTTTCTTTTAAAGTAATTTTTCTTTTTCCTCCTAAAGAACCAGTAGTACCAAATGATCCTTCAAAATTTTTTTTTGTGCCACCAAGTAAAGAAAACATGTTTCTTTGTTTCTTTGACAATTTTTTGCTGGCGTTTATTACCAATTTTTGGACCAGACTGAAAATCATAATCTGCACTTAAAATTATCATCATTAAAATAAATGGTTTATAAAGAATTTATATAACAAAAAGCAAACAACCATTTCTTAAAGTCTCGATTAAAGTTAAAGATAAGAACATATATAAAATATCATTTATGACAATTAAATAAAAATGCAACAGATAAAGCAATTACTTGGTAATGTTTGAAATTAGAAACACTTTACCGTTTTCTTTTTAGTCGATTTCTCCAAATCATTTTTATCTAATTCACTACATATTTCGTGAAACCTTTTCCTCTTGTTTGCACCAAGGTCCTTTGGAATTGGAGTAACTAAAAGAGATATTAAAATCATTAGTGTATAAATGTTTTATTTAACAAATTATTTATAACATTAAAATTAGCATAAATGGTTAACAAGATAGTAGCTTTAAAAGAATTTTACTTAAAAAATATTAATTTTATTAAACAAATGCAGTTATTTTATTTGAGAATATTAAAAATTCTAAGTAAGAATAAGAAATTTCTGTACGCCCTCATGAAAAGGGACCACTTTAGCACTAACTATTAAATTATTAAACATAAAATGTATTATCAACTAAAATTATTTATTTCTTAAAAGGTGATAAAATTATAAGAAAAATAAGACCTATAAGAAGTGATTAATCCATGATAAAATTCCGTACCTGTTGATACAACAACGTCGTAAACCTCGACATTTTGCTCTAAATGATAGTGATGCTCATCAGTTTCCAACAAAAATGTTTTTCCATTTTCAGAATATTCCAATTTGCTTCCTTCTGGATAATTTTCGGTGATTACCGATTTTTTTAGCAGATTATCTTTAACCTTCACGTATCTAATATTGTTTTGAAATTTTATTTCAACGGTTCTAGAATTTTGATTCATCTATAATAACAAAATTATATTAAAATCAGTTTTCAATAACAATTTAATGATATAAACTTTAAAGTACATTAATTGTTTTATTAACGTTAAATGTTTATTGAAATCTTATATATATTTTGTACCTTAATTAAATTAACTTTGTTTAATAAAAATTGTTTGATATATAAAAGTTCTGTACAATTTGCCTAAAATGCGATCAAATTGAATTGTTTATTTTTGTTCATAGTAATAAAATAATAAAATTATACTTAAAGTACATGTTTTAAAATTACGATTTAATTCAAGTTTCAAAACTCTCATGAAGAAAAAATTCTTTTCTTAACTTTCTTGGCAATAAGAAAATATAATTAAACCACAAAATAAATAAATAAAAAAAATTACGCATATGCTTGGTTTTGAAGAATTTTACGTTTTCAAATAGCGGATAATTTAAAAAGGAATTTTTCTTCATTGAAAATTAATTTTAATAACAATAAAATAATAATTTATAATTATGATTTGTTGGAATTTCATTGCAAAACAAAATTTCTAAGTTATGCGATTAAAATAGAGCACTTTGGATGTTTTCGTCAATCACTGGCAGTAACTAAAACCAGTGAACAGTGGTACTCAATGTGAAAAGATGTTGGCTTTTCAGTAATTGGTCACTTTCCGTAATAGCACCTTAAAGTCGTTTTCTGTTTGGCGCAGAAATTGCAGCCTTCAGAGAGCCTGCGACAAAATATGAAACGTGCCATAGGTTTTTTCGAAACGTAACCTATTTTTCGGTGTTTTCTTCGAAATTCTACTCCCACCACTCAACTCTGTTGCTTTAAATTTGCTGCCAGTTACTGGATAATTTTTCTAAGCAGTTAAGAACAGCAGTAATCCCAGTAATAAAAAATAAAAAAAATTATCACTTTTTTTACACTTGTCTAACGCGTGTCTAATTGATTAACATTCAATTAAGAAATTAGACATCACAGAAAATAGTTGGCAAATCTTCGATTGTCTCCATAAAAATAATCAAGAATCGAAGATTTCAATTTTAACCAAATAACCACGAGTTTTATGCAATTTGTGCAGATTTTGTGTGTGTCTCAAATTTATTTTTTGTCGTGATGTCGCATTATTAAACACGCGTGGTTCATGAATTGTTGGTTCCTAATTGTAAATACAAGTGACAACAACAACAACTAAACACAAATATTTTGGACGACAAATGAAATAAACAAAATAATCGAATTATCTTAAAGGAATAAGTTGTCATTTCAAAGAAGGAAAAATGGCAGAAGGTTTGTAGTCTTTAAAATTTTTAAATAATTTACATTTTCTTCAAAGATCCATTATTTTATGTATATATTTTAAAAGAATAGAATTATGCGTAAAAAGTAAAGCAAATCCGTAGAATTGCGACGTTAACTTATTTATTTTAATTATATTTTAAAAGATTTTAATCTGAAAAAATACTATTCAATTATTTCTGAATATTAAATTAAAATTTTTATAAATTGTCTAATTATTTAATCAAATTATTTTAAAAATTGTACATATATACATACATTAATTTCATATTTAAAATATTTAAGAAATGCTTATCAAATCGTATGAAAATTGTCATTTATTTATTTTATTGATTTTTATTCTTATTTATTCTATATTTCTTAATTTGTTAAAAAAACGACAAATGGAAAAAAAATAAACTGCAAAATTATCGGCAACTATTGATGAAAAAGTGAAAAACAGCGCGATTTTGCTGTTTACTTTTTTCAGTGCATTTGATTTTGACTCATGTGTAAATTATTTGTAGTTCTTTAATTAAAATTCAAGTTGCAATAATAAAGTTTTTTGTTTCAAAAATAAAGCTATTGCTGATGAACAAATAGTGTTGTCGATTATGGCAGCTGTTGTCATGATTTTCGATGACGAAGAGGAAGAAGAAGACGAGGCACGAATTTTAATCGCAGCGGCTTCAAAGGAAAAAGTCCAAATTCCTAAAACGGAAGACTATTTCGAAAGTATAATTCCAAGATTCTCAAACTCAAGTAAAGTATACTAAATAATAATTATAAATTATTTTATTAAGAAATTAGTATTTAAAATTTTTGAAAAGACTATTTTTGCGAAGAATTTTAGTCGATAAAAAAAATTGCATAATTTTAGGAGACGAATTTTTTTTTACTAATTTTTGATAATTATTAAATTAGGTAGGGGAAATTTAAGTTGAAAGTTTTAGAAAAGAATTACTGAATTTATTGAAAATATACAGTTAAAATAGATATTTAAAGGAATTCAAATTCAGACGATATAAAAGTGGAATGTTTGCAAAAATCTAATGAAATAAAAAAATTTCAGATAAGTAATTGATAATAATTGAAAACTGTAGTAAATGACTCCATTTGTAAAAAGATTTGTTTAAAATTATTGAAACTAATTAATTTTATGAACAACTTTAGAAAAAAAATAATTGAATTTTTGAAAGATTAACAACTAAACTGCTGTTTGAGAATATTTTTAAGTAAAAAAATTAAAATGTTCATACTTTACGTCTGAAAAAGTGGATATTCAAATTTTACAGAACAATTGAATATTTCAGTTTTGTAAATTAATATTTTATATTTAAAAGAGATGTAATTATAATTTTTAACATTAAAGCTCTGAAACAATATTATAAAATACATTTTTTATAATCTAGAAACAAATTCTCTTAAAATGAAAAAACATTATGTTTAAAAGGCATCACGACTTTACACAGCATTTCAGTTGAAATAGTTTTAGAAAATATTGATATTAGGAGAACTTATATAAAAATTTTAGAATATATTTAATCGTATGAATTACTTAATAATTAATTAAACATCTTCTGTGAATGATTAAATTTTTAAAGAGTTTTCATTAAAATTTTTTAGATTAATTCCATTTTTAAAGAGTTACAATTGAAATTTTTGTCATTATAATTAAAACTGAATTAATGATTAAGAATTAAAAATTTGCAACAATAAGTTGTTAATCAATCGACGATTTTAACATTTTTATCCAAAAGCCTAAAAAAATCGAGTGTTTGAGAAATTTTACTTCAAATTTTTGAATGTACAATTGATGAGAACACTGTATAGGTATGGAATTCTGGGTCCATCGTGTACAGAAATGGGACCCATCAACAATATTGACCCGCAACATTTCTAGATGGGTTTCATCAAAATGTACATACACGAGGATCCCAAAGTGGACAGTGTTCTTTTCAAAGGCATGTGATTGATAAATTTTCAAATAATTACAATTTTGAAGAATTATTAGTTTTAATTACGATTTAATGACAATTGGTAATTATTTGCAGCTTTTCGCAAACATTTTAGAATGAATAGGACTACTTTTGAAAATTTGAGTCTGATGCTGAGTCAGGATATTATTAATTTTGCTCCGTACTCGATTATGGTACGGTATTGTACGTCTGGTATTGATTGGAACACATTTTTTTATATCACAATCAGAAGAGTGAATTTTATGGTAGCTCTTCTATAGTTAAGATAGTAATTACTCTAATAATACTCATTAAGAAAAATTTCCATAAAGTTAACAGTAACTTTTTCGTCACAGGAATAATCGAGTACGGAGAAGAAAAATACTCATTATGCGTACATAAATTTTTGTGCGCAACTAAAACTGAAAACAACAAGAAGAGAACGGTTTCAAAATGTAACAAAACAATCATCGTTTTTCATTTTTCACTTCAAATTTAAGTTATTTACTTTATTTGTTCCGAAACTGATCAATTTTAAACTAGAAAGACGTGAAAATATCAATTCTTTGAAAAATAACTTGAAATCGGTTAAATTCAAGCACAATAAATTCTTTTTAAAAAAATATCAAAACGTCTATGAAATATCAGCGGTTAAGTTTCATTTCTAACGCTGTAAAAGGAGAACAAAAATAAGTCGACTTATCGTCTCTTAATTAACGAGTCGCGGACATCTTTCATTATGTCCAATAGTGCGTCTTTTCGCTCCAAATTTTCTTTGTGACGAAAATTGGCATCATCGTTCATTTCTGTCATCGAACATTCTGCATCCGGCTTCTTTGCCTTTGCGCGCTTTAATCTTTTTGGAGAAATTTCGATTTCATTACCATTAACATCAATTATGGAAGAAACTTTTCGTTTGTATCCTGCCAGACTCGAAGCCACTGCCGGCGGATTTATTTCGGGCCTTTTGTACATAAATTTATGCATTTCCTTGAAGGAAGTCGACTTTGACTCCTTTGACGGACTTGTTCCGGTTTGTTTACTCCGATCAATGGTGTTTTTGTAGGTTCTACATAACGAATCCCATTTTGATTCACATAGATGCGCACTCACATCATGTCCCTTTTCTACCATTACTTTTGAAAGAAGCGACCAAAACTTCTCCCCTTTTAACTTGCATGTCTCTTTTAGTGACGAATAACAATTTATCAATGCCTTGGTCATGTCAGGTGTCCACTGTGTACGCGTTTTCTCTAAAACAAAAAAAGTAGAATATTGAAATAGTACAATCCACAGCAATTAATAATAAATTATTTGAAAATATATTAATTTAAATTACAAAAAATTTACTTTTCAATTAAAAAGCTTACTTGGCAGTATCTTTTCGTTTCCCTCATCGCCACAACGTGGTTTTGTCATTTTTCCCTTGCCAACAAATTTTTTTAATTCCGTTTCTGCAAAGAAAAAAGAAACAAAAAAAACGAAAATTAATTGAATAAATCGTAAGTTTTAAATTAATTGCAATGTTTATTAAACTTGTGTAAAGATTTAAATGTCCCAGTTAAATAAATGTTTAACGTAAAACTTTCCTGAACATTTAAATTACATTTTCGCCTAAGTCATTATAGCGAAAATGTATTGGACATGTTCAGGAAAGTTTTGCGCTAAATATTTATTAAGTGGGAAATTTAAATCTTTAAACAAATTTCTATAAACATTGCAATAAAATATTTCGAAAATTTAAAGTAAATCTTTAGGAAATTTTCAGGAAAGTTTCGCTGTTGTGTGGGCTACAATACACAGTGTATTAGCATGTATTTTTTCTCAACGAATCTTAATTTTCAATCATAATAGTCATATTGGTATTAAATTTCGAAATAAACTCAAAAACTGCTAAATAACACAAAAACAAGAAAATTTTTTGCCAAGACACTATACTAATGTATTCCGATGTATTTTTTTCCCACGAATCTGAATGTGAAATTAAAATTGCTATATTTAGCTCAAACTTTTAAAATAAATTTTAAAAACTGTCTAAAGACACAAATTTTTGAGTTTATTTCTAAAGGTTAAGCCAATCTGGAAATTCTGGTGTCAAACACCCTGTGTGCCGTTTACGTGATTTTTAGAAAGTGTGCCAGAGTAAAGAATTAATCGAATTTACTGAATATATCTATTACACGAGTCCATCTATAAAATACACAACACGTTAAGGTGAGAAGGGGAAAGAAGGGTTGCATATTTTTTTGTGACAATTGTGATAAAGAGGGGGTTGTGTCATCGTTTGTAGTGTGACATTACAAAGTAAAAAAGTAAACATACATTTATGTATTTTATATTATTTGTTTGAGCATATAATTTTTAAATATGTTTAATAAATCATGTTGAGTAAATTATTATTTTTTTCTTTTTTTTGGGCGGGAAGGAGATATTTTCTTCTAATGAAATAGTTTGTAGGAATTTACAAAACACAATTTTTAATAATAAGGACATAACAAAAATTTTTAATACTTTAAAAATATCTTATGAAAAAATAATGATATTTTACTAACATGTTTAAAAATGAAGGGGGGAGGTCAATCAATTTTGAATTTTTGTAAGACAGTTTGTCAAAAATTTGACAAGATGTGCCAAGGGGAGTAGTGGGGTTAAAAAAAGGAAAGAACTGTGTGTGTTACTGACGACCCCGAACCAATTTTTTATACTTTCATTATTCTGACGTAAACATTTTCATCAAAAACCCCTAAGTACCTCTGACTCAAATTTAAGAGCAATTGGTTACAATTTTTGGTTTTTCAATGTTTTTGTCTGCAAAAACAATTTTATCCTATTACATCTAGGCATGTGCGGTAAATCGGTATACCAGTTTACTTTCAAAGTTTTTGTGGAAACCGGTGGTCGGTTATGAAATCCCGGTTTTCGGTTTTTTTAAACCGGTTTTTCGGTAGATGCCGGTTTTATTATTATTATTTTTTGTGATTAAGCAACTGTTTAGAACCGTTTTTTTACAAATATATTGGTATTTTAAATATACCGTTTTTAATATAATTAATAATCCGTTTTTGGATTTTCAATTCTACACAGGTCTGCCTACATCTCGGTTAAAAGTAGAAAATGTTTGCAAAATTATGCTCAAATGTGACAAAATAATATGTAATGCCCACTTATATGTAGGCCTCAAGCAGTCCATTAAAACATGAATAATATTATGTAAATTTTAGATTTCTTGATTGATATTGTTCTAATTGATATTCTCCTAAGTAAATTTATAAACCAACCTAAATCCATTTTCTCATCATTCTCCTGACTCTGCTCCTGATCCTGAACCTGATCATGATCCTGATCTTCATGCTGATACTGATCCTGATATTGATCTTGATACTGATATTGATCCAGCTCTTGCTCCTGTTCTGCTTCTTCGAGGTCGTCCTCATCCTGTCCGTAATCAAGTTGATCTTGATCAGCATTTGACGTAATTGCGACAAGATATGGCGGTGGCGATATGTCCATATTTGGCACCTTTTCAGGTGGCAAATATATAACGGTTTCTCGTCCTAAAATGAACATAAATATTCAACTAATTTAAAAAAAAATTAACGATGTTTCCAAGGCTTTTAAGGTATAGCAAATAAATATTTTCGAGGATCACCATTATGTTATTCGTAAAATTGTAAATCTAAATTATTTGTAAAATCACAAACTCATAAATTTTTTCTTACTGATGAACTATGTAATTGTTAACGCTTATTACTGCCCTTATAAAGTTTTAAATGTTTAAATGAACAAATTTAAATAATATTCTATTTTAATTTTATATTTTATTATAAAAATTAGCATTTTGAAAAAAAAGTATCTTCAAAATTGAAAAAAAAGAAAATTTAAAATGAGTAAAATATACGGGTTTTAGATAAAAAAATTAAATGAATATTTACTGAATAAGACCCCGAATATCATATAAATAATAATAATAATAGTAATAAATAAACCTTAAATTTTTGGAAGTATAGATCTATTTTCAATTACCTATAACTTAAAAATGCTTGATTTTAAAAATATTTCGCCAAATAAAAAAAGTTTATTTTCTCCTTGACGATTGGGATGCAGTTTACAAAAAATAATATTTTGCATTTTTATTTTAAAAATTAAAATTGTTTATAAACAAATTCATTTTTTCCAATTTTTTTTTCTTAATTTTTTTCTTAATTTTTATCTGAAAATGGTAAGAATAGTTTACATGTAGTTTTAGAGTGGGCCTGATAAAAATATTTGTTAATAATTTGTTTGAAAAAAGCAATTATTTTTTTCGTTTTTAATTTGCATTTTTATGTGTAAAATGTAGGGTTTAAGTGAAAAAAAACTTTTTATTCTAATAAATGAAAATAAGAATTAAGAAAACAGTTTTAAAAATGTATATTAAAAATAATAATTGTTTATAAACAAATTTATTTCTTTGAATATGGGGCGTTTAAAAACTTTTTAGCTTTATTTCTTGTCTAGGAATGGAAGAAACAGTTTGCAACCAATTTTGGAGAGAGAAAAATATTCAAATTGAAAAAAATGAATTTGTTTATAAGAAATGATGTTTTAAATAAAAATTCCAAAATTATTTTTTTTGGTTCACTTTATTTAAAAGTCGAAGAAAAAGCAAATTTTAATCTTTTGACGAAATTCTTCACAAAATCAATCATTTCGAGTCAAAGGTCATTGAAAGTAACCCGAGCCCGACCTGACAAAAATTTAGCCCTATACCCGATTCGAGTTTTCGGGATTTTGCACACCTCTAGAAAGTTCAAAACTTTACAACACCCAATTTATGTTTATTAAACAAGAACAAACTTTATTTGAAATATTAATACAATTTTAATATTGCTTATCGCAAAAAAATTTCTAATGTGCACTGTAAAAATAACTACCCATTAAAAAATGCTTGTGTAATACATTTTTTTAATTGTATCAGTTCATAAAAGAAATTCGTTCAATTACTTCTCTTTTTTAAAATAGTAAAATACGTTCAAAAAATGTTAAATTACCTAATCGAAAAACAAAAAATGAAATAATAATGTTGAGTGTAAACTTATTAACATCAATTAATTTTAAAACTCGTTCATATTTAAATTCTTTTGCCAAATTATATATATAAATTATATTTGGAAAATTCACATTGTTGTGAATTTAATTGAAAGTACGTTACTTACCGTTTGAGTCCAGGGCAAAACACATAATCAAATTGCTGTTGTCGGGATGATGAAGCATTTTACCCGTTGTCGGGTCAAAAATAGCTTCAACCATTTTATAGTGCTTATCACTCATTTTCTTCTATAGTTTGTTAAACAAACTGGTCATCAAAATAAAAAA